TGTATAGAGGTGGTATATAGAGCATGGGATTTGATGTTGCCCTTGGGTTCAAATTCTGTCCCTCTATGTCAGTGATTTTCAACCTTTTCATCTCATGGCACACATAAACTAATTACTAAAATTCTGTACCACTGCAAAAAATGTTTTTGCCTACGTGACAAAAAAATAGTTATAATAAGTATAATTTTGATACATTCACACTAACAGCTATTGTCATGTTGGCTATTCTCATTTTTTTATTTGACAATCTAAGGGGAAAGAGGTCAGTGCCCCTGACTAAATAGTCAGGTATTGCATGTCTTAAAAATTCTTGTGGCACACTGGTTGAAAATCCCTGCTCTATTTAGCTGTGCAAACTTGGATGGCTCATTTAACCTCTTAGGACTTTACTTTCCTCAATAAAATGGTAATTATACTAATCTCAGACATTTTTGTGGTCTTAATTAATCTCAAAATAAGTAAAGTACCTGGTACATAGCAAGCATTTTAATGTTGGTTCTTATTAAGGGCTAAACAAGTAGGTGGAAATTGCTTTGGAAGTTCAGATAAAGGGAGCCATGAGAAATAGGGAAGCTTTTCTAGCTCAGTAAAATCCTTAATATTTGTGGACTCTGCATTGAAGGCAGCAGCCCTTTCTTCATTTTCTTGCATTTGATTTTATGAAATAACTCATATCTATTATTATAATTGTTGTGTCTCCATCTTATAGATGAACTGAGGCTTTGAGAGGGAAAAAGTATCTGTTTAAGGTCAGATAGCTAGGAAATAGTATCGACCTTGAACCAAACCTTATACCATTTCCAGCTTGCTTTTGTCAGCTGTGTCCTCTTGTGACCTACCTTTTCTTTGCCTGTTCCCATTATGAGTAGATGCAAGTTTGGTCCCTAAACTTAGAACTGTAGTTGAGCTCTATGTTATATAGCAGGTGGCCACTTGAACACAGGCAGTGTGGAGTAGCAGAAGTAGCAATGGTGGCATCCCCTCCTGGAACTTTACTGTTGCACATTGATTTACTTTTAGGTGGGTAGCTGATGTAGCTGCTCCCAAGCCTACAATGGGATCTCAGTGGGCCTCAGGTATTTGGGCATTGACACAGTTTTGCACATAATTTCTCACCCACTTTTCTTCTTGGGGCTCCAGCCCTGCTTTCTGATCTTTTTCTGGGCTTCTGAAGTGGCAGATTACATCACTAATTTGTTTACTCAGATAGATTCATAGGGTGTATAGGGAGGGGGTGCTCTGGACTCCACAATTGACCTGATCTCTCCTTCCCTCCGCAGACTTCAGATATGGGCAGGCTTTACATCAAAAGAGAAGCAAAAGAGGGTTCTTTCTTACATCCAGATGCTTTTGATAATTAGGGAGGATTTTCTCAGAGGCAAATCTTTTTTCCTCACTGGGTCTCAGTTTTCAAGTTTGTGCTGCTTGGATTCTATAGTGTTCCATAGCCTGTTTTGTGGGTTTGTATTGTGGGACTGAATAGAATCCACAGCCAGTGTCTTACAAACTGAAGCTATAGTCCCTCTAGGTGTATGTGGCAGTTCTAGGAGGTGCACAGAGCTGTGGAATGAATGAGATTTAGTATCTTGGAGCATCAGTTTGACTTGTAGATGCTATTTCATTATTTAACTATAATGATTTAAAATTTTGTAGAATGTAAAATTTGCACAAATGATTAAGACTAAACCTGTGGCTTCAAAGAAATTTTGGCTTGCAGTCATCTACTTGTATTACCGCCCCCCCACCCTTGCTCCCTCCTTGTGGCCCTTGGGTATATGTATCCATTGTTTTATGCTGGTTAGGGATTTCTTCCATGGCAGCTTTGAGAACTACTAGCTCAGGCCAGATGAGCTGGCTGTCTGGGGTCAAAGGGAGCCAAGAAAGATTTTTTTTTCCTCAGGGGTGGAGCCATTTCTCAAAATAGAAGGATAGGATCCTAGTTACTGGAGCCACAGATGCTGTTCCTGGAACTAGGATCTAGATAAGCACTTCCAGTAGAAAATGAGGTTTCTCCTGCCTCTGGAGTGGATGTCTCACCTGGAAGGAAAACTGGAAGCAAGCAATGCTTGGCCTCTTTTCCAAGACTTGAGGTTTCCTTATAGTCTAGGGTCCAGGGGTCATCTGTTGTATCCTTTGTTCTTTTTCAGTCTCACTTCTGCTTTCAGACCATATTTCCTCCTCCTACACACACCCTTACTTCCTTACTTTGGGACTTCAGTAGGGTGAGAGACATTGCTCATCTTTGCAAGCACTGGAGCCTAAGGGAGTGGAAAATTTATATGATTTCTCTGTGTTCATAAGAGAAGACACCATGCTTAGAGAGATTAAAATTCCCTACTGATTCTGAAATCTATTTTTTGGGGGTAGCACTTTAGCTATTACTTGGTCCAAGTTTTCCTCAGAGATACTCCAGATCCTGGAACTATTTTGGCACCCATAATCCTCCTCTCATCACATTTTTACCAATCTCACTAGTGAACCAGAAAATCTGGTGCAAAAGAGGCTCAAGAGCTCACTCCTGGGACCTGTGGGACCAGTTGTGCAGTCTGTGCCTGTTGTACTTTTTAGCTCTGGGGTCTCTGAGCCTCTACAATGGAGCTGTTGACACAGGTAAGGGCCAGTTGATGCTCTACCAGCTCTGTTCCCAGTTTGTTCTACCCTCACTCTATGGCCCAGTACCCTGGCCCTCTTTGTTGATCTTCAGCATCGTTGCTGGGTTTCTTTCTGTACTGGAACATACTTCTGCTTACTGATTGTATCTGGACACACTATCCATCTGCAACCCTGTGTAAAACCATTAGAACTGTTAGTTGGTCCCTATTTTATACCTAGGGTGAGATAAGAGATGCTTTAAACAAGCTTTCCTGTCTATACACTCATCCTCTATCTTCTGCAAAAAAAAAATAGCCAATATCACATTTCAACATTAACATTATGTATTCTCCATATAAAACCTGCTAGCAGTTCTTAATGCTTATTGACTTAGACTCAGGGATTCACCTTGCCATTGAATCATGGAAGTCTTTTGATCTTTCCTTACATCCCCACACCCAGTTTATCTTTTCTAAACATGCTCCTGGTTACCTAAGTCAGCAAGAGGTAGATGGGAAATGGGATTGCATTTCTTAATTATTTACAAAAACCTAATTAATAGAGTGATAAAGCTTGAGAGAAGAAAGAGGCAATTTATGCCACACCACTTGTAGTAGATGGGGAAGCTGAGGTTCAGAGGGGAAATGTACTGCCTTGAGATCACAAAGCAAACTGGAGACAGAAGTGAGACTTTCAGGTTCCCTGACACCTGCTTTAAGATATGAAAGGTAAGGTCATCAGTCTTTACTGCCCCAGGGAGCAGTGAAGGTTGATGACTTGGGAAAGTGGCTTCTCCCCAAAGTGGTTGTTGAGGGAGCCTAGTGGGAGAGATAGATGGTCAAATTTCATTACCTTTCTGGGATATCTGGACTAAAAATGAGACATAGCAGTTAGTCAGTTGAGAATGCTAGGGCTCCTAAGCTCCTATGAGCCTTTGGCATTAGGAGAAAGCATGCTAGAGAGGAAAGGGTAAACGTTTTGGAGTCAGCATGTCAGCATTCTAGTCTAGGGTCAATGGATTTAGAAAGATTGCCTCTCTAAACCTCAGCTTCCTCATTTATAAAATGGAAATATAATAGCTGTCTCAGGGTATTTCAGTGTTCACTACTTGGCATATATAATAGGTACCTAATATATATATATATATTACTTTTTCTTTGGGGTCCCTGAAGCTCTAGATTGTAAGTTCTGAGATCCTGGCTTTGGAAGCACAGTAGAAACTTTGTGGATACAGTAGAGGGGTGTGTGTGTCTGTGCATTTTGAGGGGAGATAGTGCTATATTCACAGGGAAGGATGTCAGTAACACTGTGTCCTTGTTCCCTGTTTCTATCTCCAGGTAAATTTTTTCATCTCACCCCTACACCTCTACTGCCTTCCACTCCTCCCCTGCCCTAACCCCACCCCCAAAAAATAGAAGATAAAGAAAACTACATGATGCCAGCATGGCCTCATTAGGATGTGGCTCAGCTTCATTGCCTTCATCCCTTGTGGTAGGCATGCTGGGTTTCAGCCTTTGGCCAGAACTATTAACATGCTAATGTAAGGGACTGGAAAACAGATCCCATCTATCTTCTCCTGGCCAGCCCCCCTTTCCTTCCCACTGCTCAGCTAAGAGGCCCAGAACATCAGGGGGGCCCTCAGCTACTACACTGAGGTACTCGCTCTGTTTCCACCCTCATTCCCACTTTTAAACTGAGTGATTGGTGACAGAAATCATGACTGGGCTCTAATTAGGGCTGGAAAGAAACATCTCAGCCCCCAGACACAGCACAGCTTTGGGGGATGTAGATACCCAGTCCTTGCTCTGTCTCCTCAAACATTCTTTCTTGGGGCACTGTAAATGGGACTCAATCTGAATGTTGTGGGCATTATTTTTAGTTGCTAAAGATAGAAGAACAACCCAGGGGAACAAGATGCAGGAGTTAAGCCAGCAATCTCTACCTTCAGCGTTTAATTCATCTTGGGGTTGGGAAGCTGCTTGGCATAATAGAGGAAGGGAAGTGGCAGAAAGCACTAGATTTGAATGTTTGGAGTCAAACAGATCTGACTCTGCTACTGACTAACTGAACCTCTACTTTTCTGAACCTTACTTTCACTATCTGTAAAACGGGCCTAATTGTAATTATATCATAGGGCTGTTATGAAACTTAAAGGAGATAATAGATACAAAGTTATTGGTGTGTGGTAGTGCTCAAAAATAACAGATCCATTCCCTACCTCAGAAATACTTTGTGCAAAGAGATGCTGACATCACTTCTTGACTGCTGTTCAAGTGTATTTTCTTTCCAGACCCTGGGCACCTTATGTCATTTAAGGTCAGGGACAAAGTAGGCTCCACATTTGTGTCCTCTGTGCCTGGCACAGGCTAGCTATTCAATCAGTGGTTGTTTTGTGTTTTCTCTTTCAGGTGGTGAAAACGATTGGCCTGAGGGAAGTTTGGTTCTTTGGTCTGCAATACCAGGACACTAAGGGTTTCTCCACTTGGCTGAAACTCAATAAGAAGGTAACTGCTTACCCCACTCTTGGGTTTGGAATTCATTCCTTTTCCAGTTCTTGCTCACAGGGGGCGGGTAACATGTGCTAGCTGGCAAATCCAAGGCACCTAAGGCTGTGTTTTTCACTGGGCCATTTGTTGACCACTAGATCAAAATAAGGGTAGAGGACTCAGCCAAAGCAAAGCTCTTGTACTGTTTCCACTTTGACTTCTCACAACAAAAATGATCAGGGTCCTAGGAGGAACATATCTTTCCATTCCTACTGGGAGCTCTGTCTTCAACTTTGACTTATTTTACACCATAGCTTTTGGTTCTTCAGGCAGAGAACCTTGGTATCCTTTTTTTTTTTTTTTTTTTTTTTTCAAAATTCAAGGGCTTTAGGAAATTTGTTAAAAAGAGTCACATACTCTTGAACTGGAATTTCAAAGATCTCATAATCTTATCACCTTTCTTTCCCAACCTGTGAACTGATGCTTGAATCCAATACATATGTTCTTTCTTCATTTTCTATCTCAATTGATTTCCAAATGCGAGGACTTGAGTATAGGTCAATTTAAGCTCTCCACTTCCAAGTAGCTGGAAGTAACTTCCAAGTGAAGTAACTGCCATGCTGGAACATGGCAGTACTTCATCTCAATACCCTCAAACTGGCTGCCTTTGACCTTGGAGGTTTCCATTCTTTCCTGTAGCTTATTTTGCTGATTGTGTCTAGAGGATAGGTGTCTCACCTTCTGGCTGGCAATCTTGTTTTCCCAAAGACTGGAGACTTTTGCTGGAGAAATGTGGAACTGTTAGGAGCCAATTTCAGGCTTTAAAAGGCAACCTAGTTTGTTTGCTCACCTAGTCAATTCCCAGGCTTTAGTCATGCATCCTGGTCTTTACTTTGCTAATTTTTGGAGTTGGGGGAGCCTTAAAGGAGAACCTGTTTTAAGCCTCCACTTAGAATTTGCAGGCTATATGAGGTGTGTCCACAAGGTATCCAGTCATCCTGGATGTATCCAGTCATTGTACATCCAGGTATGTACAATGTACTATGAAAAGGAGACATTTATTGATGAAGAGACAGATACAGGAAACATTGTACATATGCCAACGACACCTCAGTCCCCTTCAAAGGAGGCATCTTGAGACCTCACAGTTTTCCCAATCGCCATCAGCTGCCCCATGGTATTTTCCTGAATCCCATCAACTGTCTGAAATATCTTGCCTTTCGAAGCTGATTTTAGTTTTGGGAAAAGCCAGAAGTTGCAGGGCGCCAAATCTGGGCTGTAGTGGGGCTGAATCACCTGGGTGATTTCACGTTTCTCTAAAAAACTGCATGTGGTATGATGCATGAGCAGGCACATTGTTGTGATGAAGCTACCAATTGCCAGTTGCCCATAGCTGTGGCTTTCTGAATCATCCAAATATTTTCCACAGAGGAATTTTCAACCTTAATAGAAAATTTGATGCAGATTCTTTGCTCCGCTTGCTCAGTCATTTTAAATGTGACAGCCACACAGTACACATGCTAACTCAATGGCATCTATTGCTTGCACTGACTGGTACAGTGAAATTGTTGTCATTTTTCATGCATGCACATTCCAGTCCACTCTCCTTGGCTGTCAGGTTACATCGATGTCATGCAAACTATTCTCGTTATATTAACAGTGGCTGGAGTTTTCCTGGACAGACCTTGTACTATCAGATGATAGTGATTTGGGGGCTTGTGACCATCTTACTTTCAAGAACAATTGCTCAGCAGAGAGCAATTGTGAACATGGGATTGAGTCCCCAATGAAAATAATATGTCTCTTTTCTGAATTACTAGGAGAGTTGCCCCCTGGCTCTTTGCAATTACCCAAGTTGTTGAACTTTCAGTGTCTTTTCCCCACCCTACAGCCACTCTCCCACCCAAAACTCCTATTTTTTGAGAACCCATAACTCCTTGCTGCTCCTAGGTGACTGCCCAGGATGTGCGGAAGGAAAGCCCCCTGCTCTTCAAGTTCCGGGCCAAGTTCTACCCTGAGGATGTATCTGAGGAATTGATCCAGGATATCACACAGCGCCTGTTCTTCCTTCAAGTGAAGGAGGGCATTCTCAATGATGATATTTACTGCCCACCTGAGACTGCTGTGCTGCTGGCCTCCTATGCTGTCCAGTCCAAGTATGGCGACTTCAATAAGGAAGTTCACAAGTCTGGTTACTTGGCAGGGGACAAGTTGCTTCCACAGAGGTAAGATTGCACCTGGCTGTCTTCCCTGGCCAGAGGGCCTGTGGCCCAAGGCTGATCAATTCCTATTACACAGGGGCTGCCAGATATGTTCCTTCCCACTAGGGTCTGTCTGAAGACCATGTTGTTATGGTAGTCAGAGAGGCACATTCGCACATGGCACCACACCCTGTTGTTGTTTCCTGGGCTCTCACAATAAAAAATTTCCCTCCTGCCCCACCCTCTGTTTTTCTGATTATAGAACTTCATTACCCTGGAAACAAATTCTTATATTGAGAATCAGAGATGATTGATTTTTCTATTCTCCCTGGTTCCATTTTCCTTAACACTTTGTACTGACTTAGATTTCTTATATCAGAGGTTCACAGGGGAGGGACAGAAATATGCAATCCAGGGACAAGGGTAGCTCAAACAGTCTTTTAATAATGGTAATCAGTGGCCAGAGCTTTCTACTTTTGTAAACTTCAAAGGTGAACGCTCTAAAACACTCATTATTTGTGTTTTAGCATCACAACAACAAAATGAATAAGGCAGGCATTATTCTTATTTCCTGGCTAAGGAGAAACAGAGGTGCAGAGGTGTTCTCACTGACTTGCTTGATACCTCACAGCTCATTTGGGGCAGAGCCAGACCTGGAACCCTAGTCTCTTGATTTTTTTAACCCTAGTTTTTTTTGCCACTGTATTCAATGGCCATTTTCATAAGCTTTTTTTTTATTGAAAGGAAAACTTCTGCTTCATTCTAGGAGCGTCTGTCCCATTGGAGCTGTGGCATATGCACAACTGACCTGAAAGTATTGGGGATAGTAGTTGTGCCCTGGGACTCTACCTGAGTCGCTGTCATGATGTCTGACATGGCATATTTGAAAAAAGCCTTGTGTATGATCTGGATCTGAGAGGTTGAGCCTGTTAGTTTTTCCCAAAGCCATTTGGGCTCAGTTCTGTTCTCTAGCCCCAAGCTATAATTTCATCCCTGAGCAATATTCTCACAGACACAAACTGTTGGTTCCACAAAGATCTAGAGGAAAGTATGCATGCCTCTTTGAGGCCTATCCCTACTCTTAGCCACACAAGTCAGAACAGACTCTTGTTGCACTACTGCTTTACTTGGGCACCATGGCATTACTGGATTTTCTGGTTAAAGGTGTAAAGGAAGGTGTTACCATTGTTTTGCTTGGTCACTCATTCTTGTATCTTTCCTACCTCTCAGGCAGTCCCGTATGTCTAAGTAATACCTCCTGCTATAATTTAAGTCTGCTTTCAGTTTAACCTCTGTGAGCCGATTCTACAACCTCTTTGCATCAACACCTTAGAGAGATAAGTGGGCTTTCCTTAACCCATGCAGTTTGGGTTTTGTGCTTTAACTACCCATTACCCATTGCCTTTCCAGGGTCCTGGAGCAACACAAGCTCAACAAGGACCAGTGGGAGGAACGGATCCAGGTGTGGCATGAGGAGCATCGGGGCATGCTCAGGTAAGCTTGCCCTAGCAACTGTGGGGTTCTACTGCTCTCGCAGGGAGAATGAGAGTTGGTTCTGGGGAATAACAGGCAGAGGACTAAGAACATTGGGGGATGTTGGAAAGAGAGAGATAGGAATATACTGTATAGGTGAATTTAGAGATAGAAGGATAATCAGAACCATTATAAAGCTATATTTTTTGTGAATGATGGCAGTTGATAGCCCAAACAGTTTTGACCATAACAAAATGGAGGGTCCCTTAGGACTCCCAGGGAGCATCTGGACCACTAGAGGCTCCTCCCCAAGAAAATAGCAGGGAATGAGCTCTCTCATGGCAAACCATTTGGGAGCTGTCTAGTTGAGGAATGAGGCCTGTCATTTTTGCCATCACCACCTCACATAGGCTCTGTTAAGAATCTGCCTGTATAAGAGGCTCCTATGACAGCTAATATGCTAGAGGATAAGCAAGGTTCACTTCACCCTTACTTCCCTTGGGAACTTCATACCTCATGCTTCATATTGTGCTCTGTTCATCATCATCTGCTTGCCTTCCATCCCCTTTCCCACCCTTAATGGCAAGATACTTGTCAGAAGTGCAGAGCAGATAGGCTTTCTTTCTTCCTAGGTCTGATTCACAGGTTCCCCTCTGTAACCTCTGACTCTGTTGTTTAGGGAGGATGCTGTCCTGGAATATCTGAAGATTGCCCAGGACCTGGAGATGTATGGTGTGAACTACTTCAGCATCAAAAACAAGAAAGGCTCAGAGCTGTGGCTGGGGGTAGATGCTCTGGGTCTCAACATCTACGAACAGAATGACAGGTATATATCAGAGGTCTCTTAGATTATTTGGGCCACTCTGACACTCATCACAGAGTAAGCCTGTACCTCCTGGGTCCTACTGGGGTAGTTGTTTTTCTACCTAGTTTAGACCAGCACAGATAATTGCACAACCTCGCTCAGACCTCTAAATCTTGCACTGACTAGACTTATACTATTTACTATGGTGTCACTGGCAACATGTGGCTACTGAGCACTTGAAATGTGGCTACTCTAGACTGAGGTAGGTTAAGTATAAACAGCACACCAGACTTTGAAGACTTAGTGTGAAAAGCAGAATGTAAAATGTTTCATTAATGTTTTTTTTGAAATTTTGATTTGCATGTGTAAATGAAAGTATTTTGAATGTACTAGGTTAGCAAACTCTTATAACAATTCAGTTCACCTATTTCTTTTATTTATTTTTATATGGCTACTAGAAAATTTAAAATAACATGGGTGTCTTTTACTATATTTTTGTTAGACAACACTGGGCTAGAACCTACTTCGTTAGGATTTGTAATTAATCTCACCCCTGTATGGTGATTAAGTAGCTTTTGTCCTATAATCTCTCTCACTACAACCTTATTTTATTTTTCCCCTTGGTCTGCTCTTGGTGAAGATGCAGGTTAATAGATTATTGTTCTTGTAACTCCTGAATTTGGAGCTCATTATTTATTTTCTCCAACTTTTACAACCTTGGGTGGAAAAGTCCCAGTTACCTAATACTGGGGAGTCTATGAGAGATTGTTACAAGGTCTATGCCACATACAAATATACTGAAACAAATCTCAGAGATTGGAACAAAGAGTAACATGTTGGTTGTAGTATTAAGAGTTCCTTTGTGCAGCCTCAGAGCTGGCAAACTGACCTGGTAGCATGTGATGACACTGGCTGAGCTGGTAATGAATCTACTTCCTAAAAGGAGAAGCTGGTAGTAGTGGGGGAAGGCACCAACCCTCTATGTTCTTGTTTTGCCCTTGTTCTGATGCTTTTGGTCTCTATTTGTATAGACTGACTCCCAAGATAGGCTTCCCTTGGAGTGAAATCAGAAACATCTCTTTCAATGACAAGAAATTTGTCATCAAGCCTATTGACAAAAAAGCCCCGGTAAGTGATTCCTCCTGCTGGCCAAGACATGTACTTACTTGCCAAGGCCTGGATAATGCTAGAAGCAATCATGCAATTACAGTTTTCTTTTTTTTTTCTGGTGTGTGTGTGTGTGTGTGTGTGTGTGTGTGTGTGTGTGTGTACAGGAGGCACAAAAGGAGATTGGTGATGGAAAGGGATGTTGGTATCAAGAAATGGCTAGGAGGTATCCTCTGTCTGTGCCACTTTGCTACCTAAGTCTTAGGGGAAAGCCACAGGCAGTCTAAATGCTATGTCTTAGCCACCATCTTCTGCTGCCCTGGGGCTGTCTGAAAATAGAGTGTATCTTATTTTTTAAAGCTTCTAGGCTTCAGAAAGTGGGAACTGTTCATATACAGGTAGGGCAAAATTAAGTTTATAGTTGTTCATATGAAAAACAATACAATAATTAACAATCATTTGAGAAAAAACTCTGTATGGCCCCTGGCTGGGTAGCTCAGTTGGTTAGAGCATTGTCTTGATATGCCAAGGTTGTGGGTTGGTCCCTGGTCATGGCATGTATAAGAATCAACCAGTGAATACATCAGTACACGGAAAAACAAACAGATGTTATTCCAAAAAGGATTTAAGGGGCTGGGTCTAGGGTATGCTTTTAGAAGATTACAGAAAAAGTCCAGTCACTCATACTGCAATCATCAGGGTATTATGCATGGATTATTGAGCCTCAAAGAGTGGCCCCTGAGATCCCTAATTAGCTGATAAAAGCAATTCTAGACTTTTAACTGAATTGAGGGTATTTTATTTTATTTTTTAAAAATATACTTTATTGATTATGCTATTACAGTTGTCCCATTTTTCCCCGTTTACTCCCCTCCACCCTGCATACCCTCTCCCACCCACAATCCCCCCCTTTAGTTCATGTCCATGTGTCAAACTTATAAGTTCTTTAGCTTCTACATTTCCCATACTGTTCTTACCTTCCCCCTGTCTATTTTCTACCTACCGTCTACGCTACTTATTCTCCATACCCTTTCCCCCTCTCTCCTCCTCCCACTCCCCCACTGATAACCCTCCATGTGATCTCCATTTCTGTGGTTCTGTTCCTGTTCTAGTTGTTTGCTTAGTTTGTTTTTGTTTTAGTTTTAGGTGTGGTTGTTAATAATTGTGAGTTTGCTGTCATTCTACCGTACATGTTTTTTAATCTTCTTTTCTTAGATAAGTCCCTTTAACATTTCATGAAATAAGAGCTTGGTGATGATGAACACCTTGAACTTGACCTTATCTGAGAAGCATTTTACCTACCCTTCCATTCTACATGATAGATTTGCAGGATAGAGCAATCTTGGATGTAGGTCCTTGCCTTTCATGACTTGGAATACTTCTTTCCAGCCCCTTCTTGCCTGTACGGTCTCCTTTGAGAAATCAGTTGACAGTCTGATGGGAACTCCCTTGTAGGTAACTGTCCCATTTTCTGTTGCTGCTTCTAGGATTCTCTCCTTAATTTTAATCTTGGGTAATGTAATGATGATGTGCCTTGGTGTGTTCCTCCTTGGGTCCAACTTCTTTGGGACTCTCTGAGCTTCCTGGACTCCCTGGAAGTCTATTTCCTTTGCCAGCTTGGGGAAGTTCTCCTTTATTATTTGTTCAAATAAGTTTTCCACTGTTGCTCTTCCTCTTCTCCTTCTGGTACCCCTATAATTCAGATGTTGAAATGTTTAAAGATGCCCTGGAGGTTCCTGAGCCTCTCCTCACGTTTTTGAATTCTTATTTCTTCATTCTTTTCTAGTCGAATGTTTCTTTCTTCTTCTGGTCCACACCATTGGTTTGAGTCCCAGTTTCTTTCCCATCACTATTGGTTCCTTGTATGAATTAAGGGTTTTTAGAATGCAGATGTTGAAAGAAATTGTGGTTTGGTCCAAAGAGCACTGATTTCAGCATCAAGCCTGGATTCTAGTCCTGGGTCTGCTAACTAACCTATTTGACCCTGGGTAAGAAGTAAATTCATCACTGATAACTAGCCTCCCAATCTGTAATAGAAAATTTAGTTACTTTTTTTTTTAGTTACGTATTTTGCTGTGTATAATGTCCACTGTTGCCCAAATCTTTGATGGAAAAACAAAGATGCACATTATACATGGGTATAATGATTACATGCAATGGGCATAACAGCCCCATGTATAATGTGCACAAAAAATGTCTGTGTGTTATACACATGAACACATTATACATGGGAAAACATGGTAAATGATCTTTCCAGTTCTTTTGGACTTAAGAGAAGTTCACCTTCATCTCTCCCTCAAAACTTTTTTCTTTTTTGATTTAATCTTTATTGTATTTTTTCCCATTACCATTTAGTCCTCTTATACCTGCCTCCCCTCAGCAATCACCACACTGTTCTCCATGTCCATGAGTCCTTTTCCCTTTTTGCTCCATTCTTCCACCCCCTACCTTCCCCTCCCCCAGCTGTCATCCTGCTCCCCATCTATGAGTCTGTCCCCATTTTCCTTGTTAGTTCCAAACTGTTTCTGATTGTTGGTTTCCCACCAGGACTTTGTCTTCTATGCTCCCCGGCTGCGGATTAACAAGCGGATCTTGGCCCTGTGCATGGGGAACCATGAACTATACATGCGCCGTCGCAAGCCAGACACCATTGAGGTGCAGCAGATGAAGGCACAGGCCCGAGAGGAGAAGCACCAGAAACAGATGGAGCGGTAGGTGATGTGGAGCTCAAGTGGGGACCAAGGCCCAGCCAAGGAAACTGCTCCAAGTTAGCAAGTCTGCTAGAAGCAGGACATGAAGCCACCCTGAGACTGGGGGCAGGGAAGAGTGGTGGAGGGGAGAGAGAGAGAGCGCGCTGTACAGTGATGAGATCCCCTCCAGGAAGCAGGCATGAGAAGCTTAGGCTTTCAGAGGCTCATAGGAGGGAGGGTCATTTCATAGTTCACCATTGTTATGATCCTCATGCCATTGTTCTAGGCAGATTCTGGGTTGTTCCAGGCTATCTCACCGGTATAGTGACAATAGCAGAAGGCTCCATGCACATTTAAACCTAGACTCTGTAGGAGTTTTTTTAGTGGAATTGGGTAGAACTGCCAGAATTTTCCCTACAAAGCCCCTATACACTGGAGGTCCTTGCTACTCAAAATATAGCAAAGCTCAGCAGCATCAGCATCAACTTGGGAACTTGTTAGAAAGGAACAATCTGAGACTTTATCCCAGACCAATTGATTCAGAATCTGCATTTTAAGATCTTATTAACCATTCCTCCAATGAAGATATCCTAATGGCCAATAGGCACATGAAAACACCTTTAATCATTGGGGAATTGTAAATCAAAACCATAGTGAGATACCATTTTATACTCACTAATATGGATATAATAAATAAAAACAAAATAACAGCTGTTGGCAAGTCTGTAGAGAATTGGAACTCATGTTTGTTGCGGGTGGGGATGTAAAATGGTCAGGTGCTATGAAAAAGAGTTGGTGGTTTCTCAATAAGTTAAACTTAGAATTACCATATGATCCCATAATTCTACTCCTAGATATATACACCAAAAAATTTTAAAAAGGTGTTCAAACAACTACACATATACATATATTCAAAGTAGTGTTATTTACAATATCCAGAATGTGGAAACAGCCCAAATGTCCATCATGGATGAATGGATAAATAAATTATGCATCCAAACAATGGAATATTATTCAGCCATAAAAAGGCATGAAGTACTGGCCTGGCTGGTGTGGCTCAGTGGATTGAGTGCTGGCCTGCAAACCACAGGGTCACTGGTTTGATTCCCAGTTGGAACACATGCCTGGGTTGCAGGCCAGGTCCCCAGTAGGGCAACCACACAGTGATGTTTCTCTCCCTTTCTTTCTCTCTTCCTTGCCCTCTCTCTGAAAATAAATAAGTAAATAAAATCTTAAGAAAAAGCCATGAAGTACTGATATATACTACAATGTAGATGGACCCTAAAACATTATGCTAGGTGGAAGAAACCAGACACAAAAAGTCACATATTGTATGATTCCATTTATATTAAATATCCAGAATAGCTAAATCTATAGAGACAGAATATAGATTGGTGATTATCAGAGGCTAGGGGGATGGGAGATGGGGACAAACTGCTTAATGGATATGGGTTTTTACTTTGGGGTGATAAAAATATTTTGGAACTAGACAGCATTATGAGTGAACTAAATGCCACTGAATTGTTTGCTTTAAAATGGTTAATTTTATATTAATTTCACCTTAATAATTTATTTAAAAATAAGATCCCAGGTTATTCCTATGCATTTCACAAAGATCTTGAAACTTCAAGAGGCTTCTAATCCAATAGACTGGAAAATGACACTATGTATGAGAAGCTGAACCCCAAGGTTCACGTTTATTCAGAAGAAGGTTACTGAGATTGGGAACAGTTTACAGAGCTGGATCTGGCAGAAATCTCCTCTCTAGGATATTACAGTCTTATAGGAGAAAAAGGAAATTGAAAGTTCAAAGTACGTTGACTTTTCATTGGCTTAGTTATGATAGTCTCCATTGGCTGAGCTGTTTCTGGGAGAGGAAGAAATTCTTCCTCCTGCTAAAATAGTATCACTTCCAAAAAGGAAGATAGTCTCTTCCTTTTGGGGTCAGTAATGTGTGTTGAATAGTATGTGCATGGAAGTTCTCTCTTCTACCCTCCTGATTCAATTTTAAATGAGGTTTCTGTTTATTCATTTTCACAGTACAAAGTGCTATGGGGAAAAGTAAGAGGGAGGTAGAATAAGAAAAAGGATAGTCTAAGTATTCTGAGGGCTCAGAGATAAAAAGATATTTAGTCAAGGGGGAAAGGTCTCCTGGAAGAGGTACGGGGGCAAGAAAAAGAAAATACTTATTCTAGATTTGCCAAAAATTCTGGGGAAAAGGAATATAGAGTTGGGCTTCAGAGAACCAGCAGAGTTAGGCCTGAGGGCATATGCCCTAACCTCAGAGATCACCATACTTGAAGCACAGTATCCCAGCACAGAGCCAAAACTAGTCTTATAACTCCCCAAGGTTGCCAAGGCAGAACTTAATAGGCCATTCTACAGATAATGGTACTGAGAACAAGTGCAAAGAAGTGACATAAGTTAAGGTCATCTACTGATTAGAAGTCTAGGTTGTATCTCCTGAGTCTTGGACAAACTGATTGAGCCTTGAGCATACTGGCCCATGTGGTAATATGATGTAACAACCAGGATTTGGAGATAAGGGAGAGTGATCCCAACTCACAAGCTCTGGGTGTGTTATATGGGTAGAGACTGAGGGTCCAGGGTCAGGGACCCTTGGGGATCCCAGGTTTTCCATGTGGTCTAGCTATCTTGTTTAATTCCTTCTTTCTCCTTTCCCAGTGCTCTCCTGGAAAATGAGAAGAAGAAGCGTGAGATGGCAGAAAAGGAGAAAGAGAAGATTGAACGAGAGAAGGAGGAACTGATGGAGAAACTGAAGCAGATTGAAGAACAGACTAAGAAAGCTCAGCAGGGTGAGGCTTGACATCACCTTGGAGAGTAGGTTTTCCCAGAGCCTAACTCTATGAGCTAGAGACCCACTGCCTGAACTGCAGACTCAGGCCACATAATCCAGATGTGACTACAGAATAGATAAATAGATGGGACAAGAAGTAGAGTGAGTACTCAGAGCTTTCTGCCAGCTGTGCCCTGGTGTGAAACATTTCTAGGAAGGAAGTTAGGTGTCTCTTCTTTATCTCTGCACTTTTCACCTTCTTTTCCCTACCTTCTCTTCCCAGAACTGGAAGAACAGACCCGTAGGGCTATGGAACTTGAACAGGAGCGGAAACGTGCCCAGAGTGAGGCTGAAAAACTGGCCAAAGAGCGTCGAGAAGCTGAAGAGGCCAAGGAGGCTCTGTTGCAGGCTTCTCGGGATCAGAAGAAGACCCAAGAACAGCTGGTAAAGCAACAAAATGGGCTGAGATTAAAGGACCTGAGTTTTCTTCCCTTTCTGACTTCCTATTTACAGCTACCTCTGCCTGTAGGGCTGGCTCTTTCCAGCAGGGCCTCCAGCAGGTAGTTCAAGTAAAGGAAAGCTGAGAAGTCATTGGTTTGGCCCAGAAACCTTTGCAAACAGTCTTCCTTAACCCTTACTTTTATTCTATTTTCTCAGCCTTTGGGGATCTGAGCTGATGACATGACAAAGGAAAGTGTGGGAAGAAGAAATGAAGGGATCTACACTTGATTAACTACCTACTGTGTGTTACAAACTATATTAACACCTTTCCCCTTTTTATTACTTATTTCCTCTTCCAAAGAGCTCTATGGCATTAACCCATATTGGAATACATGTCCAGTTAAGCAAATTAGGGCTCAGAGAGGTTTATGAGACTTGCCAGAGGTCACACAGTTGTTACTAAGTAAGGATGAGAACCCATTTCTGACTTACTGAAGGGTGTGCTCCTTAAAATTATACATGAAACTATGTGCCTATGCATTTTTCAGAGGAGGAAGGTGAGCATCCATACTTTCATTATAATTTCCAAGGGTTCTGTAATTCAGAAGTTAGGAATCTGTGATCCAAATTTCTTGGTATATGTTCTTCCCCATACTATTTGCGGTGGGAGTGCAGGGAACTAAGTCCTAATTCTCAGGGGGAAGTTTCTTCTAACAGGGGTGTCCAACCTTTTGGCATCTCTGGGCCACACTGAAAGAAGAAGAGTTATTTTGGTCCACACATTAAATATACAAACACTAATAAAAAATGATGAGCCAAAAAAAAAAGGTTTTAAGTAAATTTATGATTTTTGTGTTGAGCCGCATTCATAGCCATCCTGGGCTGCATGCAGCCCACAGGCCACAGGTTGGACACCCCTGTAGTAGTTTTGTCAAAGGTGTGAGGGTATGCATAAGCTGTTTTCCCTTGTTCAGATCACCTTATGACACTTGAGTGTCTTTCCTATTCTTGTCTTGGGAAGAGTCTTAATGTAGCCCTGAGTATTCTAGGATAACAGGGAAGGCACTGCCACTTCAGGCAGTGACACACTGATCTCTAAAGCCCTAACTGCACTGTACAACGGGCAATACTGAGAGGGGAAAGGGATGAGGGATGGGGATGAATGGAAGGGTGGAGAGGTGAGGAAGAGACAGAGATGATAGGCTATTTGTCTTCAAGACGTGTACAGTCTAGGTGAGGAGCTCTGACTTATAAGGAAATGGTTTGGAGTTAATAGGGTCCTATAGTAGATTGAGAGTAAGAGTGGTCCTCTGAGATTCCTGGAGAAGGTGTAGTAAAAAGAGCCTCCAGCACAGCAAGCTAGTGGAACAGAAGTTTGTCCACCTGGGCTTTGAGGACCAGAAGGCCAAACTCTCACAAACTTTCAATTTATCTATAGGCCTTGGAAATGGCGGAGTTGACAGCTCGGATCTCCCAGCTGGAGGTTGCCCGACAGAAGAAAGAGAGTGAGGCTGTAGAATGGCAACAGAAGGTAAGACACAGTACCCAGAGCAAAGTGTTGTGGAAAGGGGTACCATATGCATAGGTTCCAGTTCCGTAGATGCCTTAGGTGTGGGTTCCATCCTCTTTTGATCATTTCTAGACAGCAGGCATCATGGGAGAAGGAACTCAAGGCTTTCTCAGATAACTTCCTAGAATTCTTCAATACTCCAGGGAAATAGGTACAACTTTTCCTCTTATATAGCTGAGGAAACTATGAATCAGGCAGACAAAGTGATTTGGCCTACCTGGTTCCTGCCTTCTGCTGGGCCATTCTAGGCATGTGTAGGATGTTGCAAATTAGTCTGTTCTGACTGCCTGTTCTCTCCCTCTGTTTCTGGACAGGCTCAAATGGTACAAGAAGACTTGGAGAAGACTCGTGCTGAGCTGAAGACTGCCATGAGTACTCCTCATGTGGCAGAGCCTGCTGAAAATGAGCAGGATGAGCAGGATGAGAATGGGGCAGAGGCCAGTGCTGAGCTGCGGGCTGATGCCATGGCCAAGGACCGCAGTGAAGAGGAACGTACCACTGAAGCAGAGAAGAATGAGCGTGTGCAGAAGCAACTACAGGTATCCTCAGGGCCAAAGGGTCAAGGAGACCATGTGCATTGATTTGGTAGTGCATGGTATGGTCTTCATTAGATTATCATGGGGGAGTAGATGGAAGAGCCTATGTCAGCATTGTATGGCAGCCTGAGCCTTCCTCAAGTGAAAACTTTAATGAGAGGTACCTCTTATTTATTAATAAGACCCTGAGCCACCTCTTTCTTTTTAAATGTTTTTTTTTTTGCTACAACCTCCACCCATACTCCATTTACCTCATATTAAGGAAGTACTTAGCTGACACAATTTATACCTGAATCTTTAGTAAATTGTTCTACTCTCAGGGAATACTTGTCATCAATTGAAACTTGGCCCCTAAGTTTGTGGTTTTAATTTCTTATTCTTGACCCACTGCAGTCCTAACAGGACTGAAAAAGTCTCTCAAAAATGTGTGTGTGTGTGTGTGTGTGTGTGTGTGTGCATGCAAAGGGGGCACAAGGAGGGAAGACGAGAGGGAAGGGGAGGGAGGCACAAAGGGAGGAAGGAAGAGAAGAGGAGAGGGGAGAAAAGGGAAAAAAGTGGTTAAAGAAAGGGAAGTAAAGTGCGTAGAACCCATTAACCCATCATTCCCTTGCATCCTCACAGGCCCTCACTTCAGAGCTGGCCAATGCCCTCGATGAGTCCAAGAAGACTGCCAATGACATGATCCATGCTGAGAACATGCGACTGGGCCGAGACAAATACAAGACCCTGCGCCAGATTCGGCAGGGCAACACCAAGCAGCGCATAGATGAGTTTGAGTCCATGTAATATGTAATAGGCACCCAGCCTCTAGGGACCCCTCCTCCCTTCTTCCTCGCCCCTGTACTCCTGTAGTCTTGCCTAACTCACACTCTGCTGGAGCCACTAACTAGAGCAGCCCTGAAGTCATGCCAAGTGTTCATTGTAGCCACGGGACCAAACCTAGCCCCTCGGCCCTTATTCACTTCCCTGGGCAGAGAAATGGCTCACTTTGGTGCCAATGGAACCCTCTTTTGCCTCTCTGTTCCATTCAATTTAGCTTGCTAGTACAGACCATTTCTATAGCTCAGAGGCAATTCCCACTTGATTTGGGAAACATTCCCACATTTACTGTTGTTCTCTAGGTGTCAAGTGTGTGGAGTAGGTTGAAAACTAGCCCCCACCATTGCCTTCCTCTTCAGGGTCCTGTGATTTGAAGAATTGGAGCATCACAGGTTTAGAAAAGGAGGCAGGGCCCTGGCTATATGCTCTAGGATGTCAACTGACCTAGGATTAAGCCTCCCAATGCCCATTCCTTTTAGAGTTATTTAGGCTTTATAATCATTGGAAGCTAAAAAGATGTTCAGTCATTCTCTCTACCTCCCAGATTGGGCCTGTTACAAATTCAGTCCCAATAAGCCTTGTCCTTGACTTCAGGGACTCAGTTTCTCCCCAGGTTGAGATGGGGAAGACAGTGCCTTCAAGAGGCTTAACAACATCCCAGAAGGCCATTTGCCCTTCTATTCAGGCAAGGCTGGGTAGAAGATACTTCCCTCAATGCCTTATGGGAGCCTAGGCCTGTTTCAAGTGAGCTCTGTGGGTAGAAGTATCCCTTATTATTCTGGGTTCCTTCTCCCTTCTTGGGATTTACTCCTCCTCATTCCAATCCCCAAATCCTATCCTGCTAGAATAGGGATGGTTACCCCCAAATCCAGCACCCCCCCAATCCAGGACTGTTGCCAGAGGGAGGAAATGTTCACACCTGGTTTCTGTATTTCCCCTGCTATGGGCCGCAAGCCACTTCTCTTATCAGAGCTACTTGGGCCACAGCTTCTGCTTCAGGGCCATCCAGGCCTTGGTATGGTGAACCTTGTATCTTGATGCCAGTTGGCTCAATTGGTGAACGGATAGAGGAAGCTGAGTGTGGTGGGAGAAGTCCATGGCCTGGATCCCACAGTTTACTTGACTCCATCATGTGCCTAATAGCCCCTTTCTGTCACCTACCTCCAAGCTGGTGACTGGGCCTTGCCTATGTTTGACAAATTTCTAACCCAGATCTTGCCACCAGCTGTGCCGTCCTTTGGAGCTGTAAACCAGAGAACTGTTGGGGGCTCTGGCCTGGTCCCTTCCACCCCTTGCTCTTAACCCAGGAGTAGCCTCTTCCTCCTCTCTGTTGCATGTGTGTTCTTTTTTTTCCTACCAGTATTAAATATATTTTAGTGGCATCTAACTAAATATTGATTTCTGCATGTCTTGCTAATGCACCCTTAGAAGATCTTAGTCTTAGAGCAGTCATTTTGGCCAAATTCCCTTACCACTCCCATACCTGGGAACCATATACTATATTATAAAAGGATATTTTACCAGAACCATTAATGTAAGAAGCTTTCAGTATTAGTGATATCACCTGTCACTATAGGTCATACAATCCATTCTTCAAGTCCTTGGTGTGTGGTTTTATTGTTCCTTCTTTGCCTTCTCCCCAGAGTTCAGTCCACAAGGGGCTATACTGTTCCTGCATGAAGTGCCCCTAGCCCAGAGCCCATGGATTTGATCCCTACCCCTTCTTCTCCACTCTACCTGATCTTGGGAAGTTTTATGTGCATTGCTGTGAATTATATTGACACCCTCTTGGTGATATACCCTATATTAGCTAAATTTAAACCTGGAATTGCGGGGCAATCTAACTGCCTTAAGAGCAGTAACCCACCCCCAGGGAGGCTGGGGGGAAAAGTTAGATTTTGTATTCAGGTTTTTTTTGTGTATTTTGGGCGTTTTTAAAAATTATGTTTTGGAAGGGTTTGTGCTCAGCCATGTTCTATTTCAGTGCCAATAAAATTTAGGAAGACTTCACTGTGACTTGATGTTTCTTTCTGGCATGAGTGGGTGGATGTAAGATACTTCACTGTAATTTTCACTCTATAGATCACCATCCCTGGTCTCCTTTCATTCTCACCTCAGTCCTATGGGGAGTGGATACGACTATCTTCATTAAGGAATGGACATGAAAAACTACAATTACTGTCCAAGGGCACAGAACTAGCTGACTTAACACCCTATGTCCTTTTCACAGCTCCACACCAACTAGGTCAGCCCTGCACATGGTCAATGTGATGCTTAGCACTGGGCTCGCTTAGCACTGGGCTCGCTTAGCACTGGGCTCACTTAGCACTGGGGCTTTGGGGCTTCTTGTGAGGGGTGGTTTGTACCTCAACTTCTCCTGGTGTGGTCAAGCCCTATCCTGCCTCCTTGTAAGCAAAGCCTCCAGGCTTGTCCACCTCCTACTTCCCCCATTTATTGCAGTGCCAGTGAAGGTCAGATAAATTACTTTGAGCCCTGTTGCAAAAGATAGTGGAGAATGAGGTGTAAAGTGAGGGTGAATCATGTATGTATGTATAATACCTGCTGGGCAGTATTTATGGTTTATAAAATGTCAATTTTGTAACCTAGATATGGTCATCCCAATTTTACAGATGAGAAAAATCTCACCAGCTCCCTTTTTGGTGGGCCAATACTTGCAAGGAAAAGTAAATTAAATATTTTGTGAGCCTTAAATTCTTACAATAACCCTTTGAGGCAGGGGTTCCCAAATGTGTCTAGATTATGTCCTCAAATCAAACTATAATATCTAGTGGTAGCACACAGGCATCAGTATAGTACTTGATGATTACAATATGCAGAACAAGTTGAGAACCACTGCTCTGAAGATATTGTGTTTTATCTCATTTTACAGGTGGAGAAATTGATGCCAAATAAGATGAATTAATTTGTCCAAGGTCACAGAGATTAGAAGTAGTAGAGTCAGCAGATGAACACAAGCAATCTAGTTCGTGAGCCTGTACTCTTAACCACTACGCTATATTTCTCCCTACCAATCCCACCAGAGGATTGGGGAGGATGGGCATATACTGGGAACATGTTCTAAGGCAGCAAATAGAATTCCAGGGCCCTAGAACATCAGTGTAGGAGGGGGGCTTAGGAATTTCTTGTTGCCTTGGGGAATAAAGGAGCTCTAGGTCCCTTCCAACTTCAACCAGAGGATTTAAAAAAAGTTTCTCTTAGGGAGAGGGAGAGGGGAAGAGAGAAAGAGACAGAGAAAGAGAGAGGGAGAGAGACAGACAGAGACAGACACACAGAGAGAGAGATTCATTGTTCTACTTATTGATGCATTTATTTGTTGATTCATGTATGTGCCCTGATCAGGGGTCAAACGCGCAACCTTGGCATATCAAAATGACTCTCTAACCAGGTGAGATGCTTGGCCAGGGCCAGAGGATGTTTTTTGTGTGCTTTGTATGTTAGGTTGTATATGTGTAATTAATTATTTTTAAAGGAGATGACAGAGGGACTTTCTGCTTCCAGGACAATGCATGTGATAGGATAATGGCACCTCAAAGGTGTACCTGCTATAATTCATGAAACCTGTGAGTATATTACTTTACATGACAAAAAAGACTTGGGGATGTAATTAAGGATTTTACGATAGGGAGATATGCTAGGTTATCCAAGTGGGCCCAATGCAATCACAGGGGTCCTTAAATGATGGGAGATGGTCAGAATCAGAGTTGAAGATACTATGCTGCTGGCTTTGAAGATGAAAGATGAGGCCATAAGCCAAGGAATGCAGGTGGCCTTTGCAAATTGTAAAAGACAGGGAAACAGATTCTCCCCTAGAATCCCTAGAAGGAACATGACACTACTAACATCTTCATTTAAGCACAAAATAAACCCAACTTGGACATCTATCTGACATCTAGAATTGTAAGGCAATAAATTTGTGTTTTAAGTCACTATAACATTGTTATCCACTTCTCAAAAGTCTCCATTTTTGAAATGCCAATGTTATTAAAATGGAGAACAGAATATGTTGCCAGTAGTTAAGGAAAGGGAGTGGGGTGTGAAAAGTAGGTGTGGCTATAAGAGAACAACATGAGGGATACTTGCCATTCTATTCTATCTTGACTATCATTGCCAATACCTTGTTTATGATATTGTACTATAATTTGGAAGATGTTACCATTGGAGAAAAATGAATAAAGGATACATGAGATTATTCTGTGTCATTTCTTGTAACTTCAAATGAATTTATTGTACAAGGGTCTAAAAATAAAAAATAATTAAAAAGGGGAGAGTGTTCCTGGGTATATATTCAAGATCAATGAGTGCTTCTGTGCACTCAAAGAAATAGCAATACTATTTGCAATAGTTCCAATGTGGAAACAACTGAAATACCCATCAACTAAAGAATGGACAGAACTAGTACATTCATTCAATGGTATATTGTTCAACGGTAGAAATAAATAAATTGATGCATACAACAACATTATGGATGAATCTCATAGGCAACATGTACAAGAAAGGGCAGATACAAAAGAGAATGTTGTATAATTCCAGTTACTGTAAGATTCTAGTGCAGGCATGCTTGTCTGGAGCTGGGGTTGGAGGCATTGACTGGAAATGGGTACAAGGAAACCTTCTGGGGTCATGGAAGTAGTTTTGGTTTGTGTGGTGGTTATAGGGTATAAACATGCAAAAAAATTATCCAGTTGTATGTAAATTATGACTAAAAAAATGGGTGGCCCCCTCACTGTGAATGTTTGCAAATATCTAGAACAATGGTTCTCAAATTTTAGTGTGTATCAGAGTTAGTGGACTTCTTAAAAGAGATTACTGGGCTTCTTCACCCACTGAGTCTCTGATTCATTTGGCTTGAAGTGGGGCTTGAGAATTTGAATTTCTAACAAGTTCCCAGAGGGTTCTTATGCTGCTGTTCCAGGGACCACACTTGGAAAGTCACTGCTGTAGAGTATAGAGTAGACCAAGTGTTTCCCTGTACAGATGGAGTCTCAGAGAAAGGAATACTTGTGTAAGGTCACACAAGCAGTTGGGCATATATGGGTCTAGAAATTGCTTCCTGAATTTTTCATCGGCCTTCTCTGCTATACAGGAGCAATACTCCATTGCCTGCTTTCTTATATCCCTTAATTATTAGGCCTGAACAGGAACAACTCAGAGATTCTTGGTTCTAATCCTTTCTTATTTTATACAGTGAGAAATTGAGACCCGTGAATTAAAGGCTCTTGTCTACAGTCACAATGGCAGGACTGGACCCTGAACTATTTCCTGCCTCTGCCCCAGACCTGTACACAGTCTACCATGGGACACCCTTGGTGTCTTGGGTAGTTTGCCTCCAATCCTCTTCCTAAAGAAAGACTCCCACCCCACCATTTATATATCTGTGTACAGATGTTTCTTGAAACTTTTAGTTAAGATCCTAAGGAAACAGACCACACTACTTCTAGATCCCTTTCTAGAGCTGAAATGGAGGGTTCCAAGTCTGTTGCTGTCTGAGAACATGCATTCCATTCTTGAGCTTAAAAAGCACTTATGGCTGTTCACAATTTGCCTTGTCTTATTTTTCACTTTTCATTCTTACTATCTCCCCCCAGCACTTTACATTGTAGATAGAGTAGACCCTTGCCAGGCCCTCAACATCTCAGACTTGCTCATTCCTACATGCTTTTGTAATAATAATTATAATTAACATTAACTAAGTGCTTATTCTATGCTAGACACTATTCAGTATGCTTTATGTCAGGTATTATGTTATCTTCACAACATCTCTGAGGTAAGGGTGATTATTACAGATGAGAAAACTGAAGCAAGAGAGGATATGTAGCTTGCCCAAGGTTACACAGCTTAGAGTGACAGGGGCAAGATTTGACTGTTTTCTTAGAGTCTCAAACTCATAAAGTCTAATAAGCAAATATATCTTCTCTATTTTCACCCTGCCTACTCATCCTCTTATGTTCCCCTCTCATGTGGCACTCTTTTTCCCAAAATAAGAACGTGGATATTTTTTCTTGGCAACCCCCTCTCTCATCATTGTCCCTGTTCCCAATCCTCCTGCCTTCCATTCTGTTCCCTATATAGCTTTTTAATGCCACATGTACTTATTCTTCCTCTGCTGCTGGGACCATTGTCATGTCCTCCTCACTAGATCACTGGCCTGTCTTTCTACCCTCTGCTGCAAGTCACCTGCCAGAAAACCCTTCTCATCTTCCTTTCTCATCTTTTCCTACCAGTTCAGTCCTGGTTCTTATTTCTCTTCCATTAATATCCCATGCTCATTCTGGTAGCAGGACCTTTAATTGTCCTGCTCTCTGGTATGACATTCCCAGAAGAATTCCAACGGCTGTCTTCTCATCATTCAGGTCCCAACTCACAGAGGCCTTCCTTCACCACCCTATCTAACGTAGTTCCAGTTCTGTACGTTGGATCCTCCTTTTCTATCTCCTGTTCCCTCAAGGCCCTAAATTAAAGGGTTAAAGCCTCTGAAGCTTGGGGAGAGGGTAATATAATGAAAGGGAGGGGATCATGACCTTATGGAGTCTTTTTTAAACTTAACAACAATTTGATTTAAAAAAAATAAAAAAGTAGTTTCTAACTCCCAACACACACATACATATATCTATAATAACTAACACATATGGCTTTTAGTGTGCCACATACTATTCTTAGTCATTTATATATTAAATCCTCCCCACTATGCTTCTATGAGGTAAATACTGTTATTATCCCATATTATAGATGAGGAAGGAAACTAAGGCACAGAGAAGTTAAGCAACTTTCCTAAAGTTACACAACTAATAAGTGGCTGAGTCATGATTTGAACCTATTTTATATATAATTTATCCTGTTTTAATTTTTTCATAATGTATCTTACTAGCTGAAATGATATAATCTATTTCTTGATGATTAGTTTATTACCTGTCTTGTCCAACTAGAATAAGGGTGTCAAACTCATTTTCACCAGGGGCCACATCAGCCTCAAGGTTGCCTTCAGAGGGCTG